TGAGGATTAAGCGGTGTATAGATAATGGATGGATAGATATACATCTCATTTGTTTGTACCAATTGTATCCCCTGTTATTATTGGAATTAAAATACTCTTCTTTTCCATGACAGTCCATTGTGAGAGTTAACAGTATTTAATGTAGCAATTATTTTGGCTTCATACTAAAAACATTTCAGTGTCTAAGTTACCAAAGTGATTTCAACATATCTACACAAAGGAAATACACTTGAAAACCATTTCTCATTTTTGGTGAAAAAGGCGTTCTGCTAATCTCATATGCAACTTTCTACAGAAGTGACCTCTGAAAGCACATCCTGTGAGGTGAAAGTTGTCCTAAATAGACAACTGTTGCGTCTTTTCACCATGGGGTAAGTTTGGTTGTCACCATGAGCAACAAAACACAGGTATAACGACAATAAAAACTAATACAAAAGGAGGTATCATTTAAAATAAAAGAGATTCGATTATATTACATATGCTTTTATTGTCAAACTAAAATTTGAATTCTCTTCATGTTCTTTTAAAAAGAAAAACTGCGGTTATTTGCATATGTTGTAATTTTTCAGAAAAGGATCATCTGTCTCCTATGGCAGCAGCTGATTGACGTATAAGAGCTTCTGTTACTAGAAAAGGAAAGGTTGAAGCAGAATGTCACAGATTAGTTGTGGGTCACATTGCCTCTATGTTCAACATCAAATAAAAGGTCTGGTTTTCCTTTTTTTTTTTTTTTTTACAAGCCCAGTATGTCAACAAACTGAATGTTGATGGAAGAAAATTAGGTTTCCTTTAGATTTTGAAAAAATTGGTTTAAATGTTAGGACAAGGGCAAATTTCACTTCTTAGATATTGCAGGGGATTGGACCCTCTGTATCCTGGACCCTTGATCTTTTACTTTAAAACTTATTTCAACACCTACTGTGACCCGATGAGGTGTGTCAGAGAAGTTTCAGGACTGGTGTCACAAAAGATATATTTCAAAACAAACTACAAGTTTTCCCCCTTCGAAGTAATCCCCCTGGAGTCTAACACACTTTCCCAGCCCTCTCTGCCACCATGCACTCCTGGAAGGATTCTCCCAGGATCCTCTGCAGCTCTGTCGTCACAGCCATCTTGATGTCGTTCATGTCTTTAAAACAGGTCTCCTTGATGACCCCTTTGAGCTTGGGGGAGAGGAAAAAATCCCACAGAGCCAGGTCGGGTGAGTAGAGAGGTTGCTCCACCACGGCGATGTTCTTCTCAGCCAGGAACTGTTGGATGTTCAGGGCATAGTGAGCAGGCACGTTGACATGATGAAGCAGCCATGACTTGTCCTGCCACAACTCTCGCCTCCTCTCTCACACTCAGCAAAGCAAACACAGCAGGATCTCTTGTAGACGTGCTGGTTGATCGTCTGAAGGGGGAAACTTTTTTGTGACACCAGTCCTGGAACTTTTCTGACACACCTCATATCTTCTACAAAATGAATTCATTTTCTAAATTAAATCTCCATAATAACAACACGTTACTGGGCTGAACAGACTAACAGCTTAAAATAAAGATGCTTCCCCATCATGAATGTCTTCTGAGTCAAGATGTAAACAGAGGCTAAAGTTTGTTGCTTCCAGCTTTTTAGAACTATT